CATGGTGGATCGCACCGTGTACACCCCGGACAAGTTGCCGGAGCTCCCATTGCGGCAGATCTTTGGTCGGCAACGAGTTCCGGAAGACTTGTGCCGGCTCGTGGCTGATGTGGGTCTCCGCAGCGTGGAAACGTTCGCCATGCTGGGGGACACGATCACAACGGTCAAGCAGACCTTGAAAACGATCATACCAGATCCTGCTCGTTTCGGCGATGATGCGCCGGCGCAGGAGCTTGCTCTTACAGCTCTGGCGGCCGTCTGGAAGCAGTGCTCCACCATGCAAGATCACTTCGCAGCTCGGCGAGCCAAAATGGAAGAAGACCCCAGCAAGGTCCCAGAGATTCCAGGCGAAGATCATGCTGAGTTTCGTGACACGTTCGTGGCTCGTCACCCTGACGTGCTCTTGCCCATGCATCGAGAGCCTCATCGGAAGTTTGTCGAACGTGTTCAACGAGACTACTTGGTGCACGGCTTTGTTCACTTCTATGAAGTCGGCGAGATCCGCACCAGGAATGAGCAGATCGCTCAGAAATCTGGGCTCTCCAAAAATGCAGAGGATCTCTTGCGTGTGGTGATGGTAGATCAGCCTAGTGCGGCTAGTTCAGAATCTCAGGTGATGGACAAACTGCATGCGTTCTTCATTACCTTAGAATACTTGAACATCTGTGAGTTCTCCGTGGCAGCCGGGCCCCTGAAATACTTGTCTGATCTGGAGGAGTGGCGCCACGAGAACCGTGGCCTGGCCTTGCTCTTGGCGGCTGATGCGTTGATCCGCAAGAAAGTTCATCGAGTGAGCTCTGATCAGCGCAAGACATTTGGCACGTTCTCTGCCGCCTTGCTTGAGGTCTTGACCAACCGTGAGGATCCAAAGTTGTTCAAAGGACAACTGCGGCAACAGGCGACAACTTTTCTCTTAGAAGTCTCCCCCTGTATCGCACAGTTGTCGCACGCATCCAATATAGTGACGGTTTCTTGCACCCCTGGCGACACCTGCGATCATATGCACATGGAAAGACTGCGAAGGCATGTCGCAAGATGTGTATGCGAGAAAAAAGGCAAAGTAGAAGAAGAAACCTTGACAGATCTGAAGATGATTCTGACATCTCAAGACAATCTAAAGACCAGGTGGTTCTTTGCCTTTGCCTTTGGCATTTTCCGTTGCACACCTAGCGACAACTACGACCATATGCACATGGAAGGACTGCGAAGACATGTCGCAAGATGTGTATGCGAGAAAAAAGGCAAAGTAGAAGAAGAAACCTTGACAGATCTGAAGATGATTCTGACATCTCAAGACAATCTAAAGACCAGGTGATTCTTTGCCTTTGCCTTTGGCATTTTCCGTTGCACACCTAGCGACAACTACGACCATATGCACATGGAAGGACTGCGAGGACATGTCGCAAGATGTATGCAAGAAAAAGGGCAAAGTAGAAGAAGAAACCTTGACAGATCTGAAGATGAGTCTGACATCGAAGGAAAACCTAAGGACCATAGTTCTTTGCCTTTGCCTTTGGCACTTTCCTTTGCACACCTGGCGACAACTACGGCCATATGCACATGGAGGGACTGCGAAGACATGTCGCAAGATGGCATGCAAGAAAAAAGGCAAAATAGAAGAAGAAACCTTTACAGATCTGCAGATGATTCTGACATCTTAGGACAATCTAAGGACCAGGTATATAGTTCTTTGCCTTTGCCCTTGGTACTTTCCTTTGCATACCTGGCGACAACTACGGCCATATGCGCATGGAGGGACTGCGAAGACATGTCGCATGGTATCGAAGCAAAAAGCAAAAGTAGAAGAAGAATCCTTTACAGATTGACATCTTAGGACAATCTAAAGAACAGGTTGTTCTTTGCCTTTGCCTTTGGCACTTTCCGTTGCACACCTGGCGACAACTACGACCATATGCACATGGAAAGACTGCGAAGGCATGTCGCAGGCTAGATGTGTATGCGAGAAAAAAGGCAAAGTAGAAGAAGAAACCTTGACAGATCTGAAGATGATTCTGACATCTCAAGACAATCTAAAGACCAGGTGGTTCTTTGCCTTTGCCTTTGGCACTTTCCGTTGCACACCTGGCGACAACTACGACCATATGCACATGGAGGGACTGCGAAGACATGTCGCAAGACGGTACGCAAGAAAAAAGGCAAAATAGAAGAATAAACCTTTACAGATCTGCAAATGATTTTGAAATCTTAGGACAGACAATCTAAAGGTTGTTCTTTGCCTTTGCCTTTGGCACTTTCCTTTGCACACCTGGCGACAACTACGACCATGTGCGCTTGGTGCGGCTGAGAAGACATGTCGCAAGATGGCATGCAAGAAAAAAGGCAAAGTAGAAGAAGAAACCTTTACAGATCTGCAGATGATTCTGACATCTTAGGACAATCTAAGGACCAGGTTGTTCTTTGCCTTTGCCTTTGGCACTTTCCGTTGCACACCTGGCGACAACTACGACCATATGCACATGGAGGGACTGCGAAGACATGTCGCAAGATGTATGCAAGAAAAAAGGCAAAGTAGAAGAAGAAACCTTTACAGATCTCCATATGTTTCTGACATCTTAGGACAATCTAAGGACCAGGTTGTTCTTTGCCTTTGCCTTTGGCACTTTCCGTTGCACACCTGGCGACAACTACGACCATATGCACATGGAGGGACTGCGAAGACATGTCGCAAGATGGCATGCAAGAAAAAAGGCAAAGTAGAAGAAGAAACCTTTACAGATCTGCAGATGATTCTGACATCTCAGGACAATCTAAGGACCAGGTTGTTCTTTGCCTTTGCCTTTGGCACTTTCTGTTGCACACCTGGCGACAACTACGACCATATGCACATGGTGTGGCTGCGAAGACATGCCGCAAGATGTATGCAAGAAAAAGGCACAGTAGAAGAAGAATCCTTTTATATAGATCTGAAGATAATTTTAGGACATGGATATGCGGCAACTTTGTAGCAAGGTTTAGAAGACTATACTTCGAAGTGTTGCATGCTGACAGCATCGTTACATGCATGGCAAGCGCGGGATCCTTCGCCAAGCGCGCAATGCGCATGTACAATATTCTGCAGTGCAATCCATGGATCCACTGGATCACCGAGATGTGCAAGTACAAGACTTAGATAGCATGTCAAGGAAAATTTGGCACCATGTGCGCAAAAGCACATGTGCGACAACAGGTCGCACATATTACATATCAAGAGGCATGGATCCTATTTAGGGTCCATGACCTCTGGCGCGGGAAAAAAAGATAGTATATATATATAGATAGAAAATCAAAAGACAAGACCATATAACTATCGGAGATATACTTATATCAAGATGCAAGCGCGTAACAAAGAATCAAAGAACCCAGAACCTTGTGGTGTCTAGGTCAAAGGATTTCTTCGCATTTTTTTGCAAGTCGCATCGGGATTTATGTTTTTACTTGTTTGACACCAACAGCTGACTGTTGAATTTCTAATTTGGGCCTGGGACTGGCGCAGTGCTGATGCAGGGAACACAGAAAGGAACCCAGGAACCTTGGATTTTTTTTGGGGGGGATGCAACGCTTGGCCGATGCTCCGTCATCAGGGTCAAGGGCACTTTAATGTGTCAAGGTATCACAGTTGAGACAGGACACAGGTAGGCTTGAGCCATCTACAGATATCCAGTATCTACAGTAGCTAACTTATGAACATACGTTTTTTAAAAGCCTACTGGGGGCATGGGATTGCTCATGTTTCCACAGGTGAAAATCGATCTATCAAAATAACTCCTAAACCCTCATGCAACCACAAAACATATTTGAGGATTTCCCCGACCCATAAGTATTTACCTGTGGGCACATGCTTGCTTCGTGGCATCAATGCCTAGCCCGGTCAAGAGCCATGGATTTTTTTCTCAGGAGCCCTGGGTCTGAGATCGCTCTGTGTGCCATCGCTGACTTAAGTTCAAAATCAGCCGCTGGAAAACCCGTAAAAGAACGGAAGACATGTGGCAATGCACTGCTATCTTTTTAATTTGGCCTAAGTATGATTCATCCTGCCAACAAGCTGTGTGCCTGGGATTGATGCGCGTTTGCGCAACAAATTTGGCAAGATGTTCACAGTCATGGTGCTTTGGGCGCAACTTCCATCTTTTCACATGTTGTGAGTATTGGTAGTGTTGAGCTAGGCCCTGCCAATGCAGCAAATGCTGAATCAGCAAACTATGAATTTCTTTGGCCTCATCAGATGGCAGCAAAATATCACTGCAATCCATTTTATGGATAGCAGCCACCAAACACCAGGCGCACAGAGCACCTCCTCGAAGAATATGTTCCTTAGATGCTCAACACTGGTCATTGGAGTTTGAACCAAATTCCAAAACAGTAAGCAAACAAACAAACAAACAAATATATATATATATATATATACATGTATATGTATATGTATATATATATATATATATATTTATTTATTTATGTATATATATCTGTATATATATGTATGTGTATATATATATATGTGTGTGGGGGTCTCCTAAAATGATGGTAGCCTATGGAAAGTAAATATATATATATATATATATACCTTTTGAGTATTGAGACATGTTGTTTAGGGGTACACCCATTTTAGGAAACATCCATATATATACATATATATATAAGATATAGGGTTGTGTCACTGTATGTTTGAAATTCGATATCATTAAGATCTAGACTTTTGGATGGTGATGGAAATTTTTGCAACTCAAAAAAGATGAGTTAAACAACCCTGTGAATTGTCTAGACACCTGAGTAGCGTCTGCATATTCAATTGCCTTTCGGGCGAAGTACCACAACAGAACTTTGATATGGGCAGCCTTCCATATCCGGCCCAGCAATGGATATTCATTCTTGTTGTCCAGGCCCGTGTTCCTTTCTGTCAAAACCAGTTTCCGAACAGCGATCCTTAGATGCGTGCTGGTTAATTTTGAAAAAGATTTCATATGGCCCACATAGTAACCTTGTTCAGTGGTTAAACATATGTTTTAAACAAAACTGGGTATCTTCTCCTGTTTGAAAACCCGATGCATCTCGATCGAAAACACTTTGAGACGGTCGTTGACAGTCATGTGAGGTCCACCAAGTAGTCCATGATCTAACCAGTCCGCTAGCAAAGAGGGAATCAAATCTTTGGCAGTACCCAGGTAGATCACGTGAAGCATGTCCCGTAGACAAGTACCCAGCGTCCAACCACTGATGCAACTGTATGGTGAGATTGTCTTGGCCGTTTGGCGATAGGTGGCATCATCGATCATTGTCAAGTGTCTTGGGGATGATTCCCTGAAGTCAGCATAGAGTAAGTTGGGGTCAAAGTCTTTGCATCGTTGTTGGGCTAGACATGACTCACAGATAAACTTGCATTTGTAGTACCGTTCAAATTCGTTGCATTCAACACGAGCTTTACCATCATATCGGAAGGCCCAATAGGCAGCCCTGACAGGGTCTTGGAACTTAAAATAGCAACCCCTCATAGTTTTGGCAAAAAATTGACCCGGATTTTATCTCATGTGTTTTGATAACACCATGAAACCTCCAACCGCCACTCAACTTGTTTCCCTTGTTGGCATACCGGTACGTCTTCTTCCCAAATTCCTCACCACCAAGACCCTGAGATGGGAAGATGCCAGCACTTGCCCAAGTCAGTGACCATGCCAGGAGCTTTGCGATGGCTTTGTGGACCTGCGACTTTACCTGAGCGAAAGAGCCGGGCAGCACAGCCCACAACTGTGAGTGGTTGGGAAATGATCTCAGCACAATATTTGGGCGATGAGACGGTTTTGCCACCAAATTCCCATCCACCTGCTGTGCAACCTAGAATCATGCTTTCGCGCCATGCAAGAATGTGGGAGTATTGCTACTGGGAACTTGATGTCCATCACCTTAAATTACCGATGGAGAGCTGAAACACATTTGTTGAGGGAATTCCAAACCCACAAATGGAAACGTAAGGATAAGAACGCATAGTCACATCTCCTGCACTCAAGATGCTGCTCATACTCCAGACATTGAATTCAGTGTCCCTGTAAAACTCGGCTCCATCCATGTGGAAGGAAAGTGGTATGACACCTTGGGTACGGTTTGACACGAAGATGGAAGTATATGTAGTCCATGTCCCTCTGTATCCAGTACCTGGTTTTGGGCCCCAAACAGGATTAGGTCAAATATTCAGCGCAAATTTCTATTGCTGTAATGGGTTTTATCACATAGAATGATCAACGCAACATACGATATTGATAACTAAGTATCCAACTTTTTTTCGACACTGAAGGGTCTGCAAATGTTGGATGATTTCGCCATTCGGGCAATGTGAGGCAGTGTTCCCAAAATTCTCCAACACCTTCCGCAGTCCGGTTTCCCAGCATGGATTTGGCAAACTGGTCAGGTCCAGCCCGGGCCAAAGCATCAAGGATTTCGTGGGGTAATAACACAGGAATGTCAATCTCCTCTGTGTCAAGGGAGTTGTTCACCTAAGCTGCCCATAAACTTGAAGTTGAGCGACGAAGGGTCGAAGGGTAAAGGTTAGCATGCACATGGCAACGAATAAAAAAAACGATTTCAGAAGCCCCTACCTCCACTTCGAGTTTGATGTAGTATGGCTCTAAAGATATTTGGTGCAAATTCTTTAGCCACCTGTGGAGGTCCCTCTCCTCATTGTGAGTGTGAGCCCCAAATGCGCCCAAGGATGCAAAGCATCTCACTGTCTCTGGTACATCCCTGTCAGCCTCCAGTGCATCCATCAGTTGGGATTGCGCCATAGATACCACTGTTCGGATGTGGGTTTTCCCAGAACCAATCAGTCCTTAACCAGGGATAATGCAAGTGAAAATAAAATGCTTGGGGGTGGAACATATACATTATGTAGTTCCCCATGCATAGTTGCAGAAAGATTCGTATAAAGTTATCCGCTTGATGGCTGCGAGCACAGTCTTCGTAGCAAGGACGTCGCCTGTTGTACCTGGGAGAACCAACTTGTTCATGTACCCTGAGCCAACTTGAGAACTATAGAACCCATAAAAAAAAGTGTTTTGAAAATTGTTTCGTTGTTGTCAATGTTTCACCATGGGATGGTAATTCATTCTCTGTTTCTCAATTCCATTGATCAAAACCATTGGAGTGACTGTCCTTATCAAATACCCAAATAGATACACCAATATATATATATACTGTCATATGTGTATACATATGGTTGTATCGAAATAATGTGTCTACTTGTATATGTATAAATATGTGAGGTTATATATATATATAGATAGATATAGATATATGTGTGTGTGTGATTTCCTCGTTGGTATTTCCCCACAGTTGATTTTTAAATCATGGCAATCTACATGCGCCCCAAGGTGGTGCCAGGCTGCACACTGGTCCTGCATGGATGGTTGACTTTGGCTCCACGACGGTTACCTGCGTGGGGAGCTCCCAGGGTTGAGCATGGAGGAAACGGGTAACCAGGCTGCCAAACCATTTGAATCAAACATCTTTCTTTTCAACTCCAACATCGATCGCAACTTCTATGTCACATGACTTCCATGGGTGATCAATTGTCACGCAGAAGCTGTGGCCCTACCTGATATCATTTGATATCGATGGATACCCCTTCCATCAATCAAAAAGTGCACCACCACTAGGCAGCACCATTGGTAGAATCACCGGGTTTCGACTGGGCTTTCGCCTTTGCTTTTCCCTTAGCTTTGGCCTTGGCCTTTGGATAAAGACCATTCAGCATAGCACGGCCGGCCGCCTGAAAGGGGAATGGTTGTGATAGGGTCCAGACAGAGCCAGAACACCAATGGGGTGTACCTAAATCTTTCAAACCTGTATTTTAGGAATGGAAATGGAACCTATTGTGTGAACGTTTTTTCAACAACGTGCCTTCGCTTTCTCCCACCATTTCATGTGATCAACAGCAATGTCAACCAACTTGAGGTACTTAGCATCATCGTCAATGCCTTTTGAGATCAAGTCATTGAGTTTCTCATGTAGTTTTTCCATCTTCGAAGATGCCGACATCAGCTGTTGCAAGAGTTCCCCTCCATATTCAACATTCTTCAGCGAAAGTGCCATCTTACGAGCATCCGCAGACTTCGTCAGCACCTCTGCCATGACATCTTGGGCTCTCCTTAGGCTATCAAAAGGCAGAGAAGGAAATGCCAAAGACAGGGGATGGACAATAATTCAGGATGTCATACAGATAGGTTTTCAAATATGTAGGTTTAACCATTTCAACCATTTCCATATCATAGGCAACAAGGCAACAAGATAAGATAAGCAAATCAAAGGATCTGTTTGGGAGTCTTTGGCACACATTCCTCAGCAGTCTCGTCCTTTGGTTTGGGCTTCGGTTTGGGCTTGGCCACTGGGGTGTGCCCAACTGTTGCCCACAAGGCTTTCTCGCCTTCGGCATTGGCACAATCAGCACCGGGCAACGCGCCAGCACAGAGTGGGCCGGTGTCGGCAGTCAGGGCAGCAAGAGTGGAGGCATCAGGGTTGAAGTTTCCTTGCAATGACATCCCGTCAGAAGTCCTATGCTCTTGGTCCACCTTCTTGGGCTTGCCACAGTAGTAATAAATCTCCTGTGGCTTTGCAAGTAAAGGAATGGGGATGAAACTGACCGGAGTATAGAAGGGTTACCTTGGAAGGTAATTTGATTTCAATTTGAATTCATATCCACCTCAAATAGAAATTAAATCCAAATCACTGACTGGAACACACTTGTTTTCAAATTGAGTTCCACATGAACTGACACAAGTTTCTGAGGGGGGGCCATCAAAAAAGATCATATATTGAAGAACAGTGTTTGATGGGGATGATGCATACTTAAAAGATTATAGTTCCAACCTTAGCCGTATATGTGTATCACCAGTTGATGCTTAACCCAATCCTCTTCATCACCAGGGAAATCTTCGTCCCAGTAAAACAAGTTCTTTGCTCGAAGAAGACTCATCAACTTCTTGGCCTTTTCCGGTGGATACCGCTTCTCGATTTCGCGCGCTTTCAAGCCTTCGCGTCCAATCTTGAAGCGGTTGATCTGCTCAATCCGTCTGTCGAAGCGAACCACCACCCTGGGATAGATGGGCTAGATTGGCTGAAGATAGTGATGGAAGAACTTAAATTGGAGCATCCCAGCAGTATCACATTTGTTTGGGGACAAGAAAACACATAGCTGAATGTATCAAAGAAACTCGTTGATGTTCTGGTTGCACTCTAGCCACTGCCTAAACAAGTCTAGCTTGTCTTTCTGCAAATGGCCAGACAACTTTGCTGGGAATGCCTTCCGGTTGGCGCACAATCTGGAGAATGCATCGAACTCCTTCTTGTGGGTAACACCTGGGTAGCCAATTTTTGAAACTGAGGAAATAGCAGTGGCTGATGGGGAGACAATCTAAATACAAGTACCATCATATATACATCAGATAAATTTCAACGATTATTTTTGTATATATATATATACATACATAATATTTACAAATAACATTGTATAAAGAAGGCTCACGGGTTTCAACCATTTTCGGGTTACTTCTATAAACCATCACTGTATACTTCAGATAGGCTACTGTTTGCTTCGGCGAACGGGACCACCTGCTGGGCTTGGGCTGCAGCTTGGGAAATGTCGACCGTAACCTGGGTCTGAGGCACCACCACATCTTTGACCTTGGGATCTTCAGCCTCCTTGTCAGTGGAGGCGCTCCGGGAAAGACTTGAGTCAGACCCCACAGGCGAATCAACCTCCTCATCAGAGCTTTGCGATTCATTGGAATCACCCCCTTGGCTCTCATGGTTGGAAGCAGGCTCAGACTGATGAGCAGTGTTGCCAAGACCGTGTTTCTCTTCTTCTTCATCATCAACTTCTTCATCAACTTCAACTTCTTCATCCTCCTCTCTCTCTTCCTCCTCCGGGTCTTCTGAATCTCCAACAAACTCCTCCATCTTTAGGTCACCATCGCTGTCTTCTTCCTTTTCGTTTTTCTTGGTGCCCTGCTTCGCCTCTCCTTTGTCACACACCTTTGCCTTCTTTGCTTCTGCCTGTCGTTCATCTGGCTTATCGGTGTTCTCCTTTGACTCTTCTTTGTCGTTCTTTGGCTTTCCTCTGTCGTCTTCCAATTTCTTGTCCTCCTCATCCAGCTCCTGTTCCAACTCTGCGATCATGCCATCAAGATCACTGTCATCAGAAGAGAGAAGGTCTGGATCTTTGTCGGCCACCTTGGCCTTCTTGACATGTTTGGCCACAAGTTTCTCCTCTGCTTTTCTTTTCATTGCTTCCTGTGCTTCTTTCTGAAGCCGCTTCTCCTTGGAGCTCTGCAGCACTTCCTGTACGCCTTGTGCCGGGCTGGTTGTCTTGTCACCCGTCACTGGCTTCTCTTGGCTATCATTTTTCACCTTTTTCTTCTCTTCCTTCTGCTTCTTCTCTTTCTTGTCTTTCTCCTCCTTTCCATCTTTCTTCTCCTTTCTATCTTTCTTCTCCTTTCGAGCTTCCTTCTCCTCTGCCTTCTCCTTTCGCTCTTTCTTCTCCTTTCGAACTTTCTTGTCTTTCTCCTGCCTGTCTCTCTCATCCGCCTTCTCCTTCTTCAAAGCTGCTGTCTGGCCACCTGTGTTGCTAGCCTTGCCCTTCACACTCTTCTCTCCTGCTTTGCTCCTCTCCTTGACAGCCTGCATCTCTTCGGTTCCAGGCTTCTTCATTGTTGCCTTCTTCTTGTCATTTACTGCCTTGCTTTCTGCCTTCTCCTCTGCCTTCTCCTTCTTACCTCTCTCCTTCTCATCGTTCTTGCTCGGGTTCTTGGAGGTCTTGGCAACCTGGAGATCATTTTTTGCACTCAATGCCACCAGGTCCTGAAGAGGTTGACTAGAAACATCTTGGGAATCACCCGCAGCACTCGGAACTTCAGAAGGTGATTTGATAGAATTGGTTCCACGGTTGGATGGGGTCTTGTAAACAAAGAGCTGGTCCTTGCTGGAGGCAGTGGTTGACGATGCTGGACTACATCCTTCAGCCTTGGGTTTGGTCTTCCCAGTGATCCTGGTAGCGGGTGGATCATCAGATTTTGCCTTCTTTTTGACATGTGCCTTAACCTTGGCCATCGACCTACACAGGGTGTCTATGTCTCTGACCTAGGTAGCCCCTGGATCCAAAATGACTACGTAATTACATCAGATGGGTTTCGATTGCACATCCCAAGAGACAACCAACATATCATCAAAAAAAATCAAAAAAAGTGATGTAAAACTCTTAGATACATTTCAGCACTTTTCTCGCCAAATCGCGGCTATTTCTCGACAAATCGCGGCTATATTGTGGTATGTTTGGTAAAAAATAAGATGTCGTTAAGATGTTCACTTATACTTCTGGAAACCACACCGGCACCTTTCCCAAGCATGGCATGGGTGGGCGCACCACTCTTTGTCACATTCTTGAGGACGAGTCTTGGCATATGGCCACCTCCAAGCGACACCATGTAGCACCAAGGAGACAGTGGGTTGGATTGGTATTGGGGTCGCTGGTGTGAGGGCATAATCAACAGCGGTTTCCACAAAACATATTCCAGAATTTGAACTCTTTCTAAGTTTATAGATTGGCATTGGGACATCCTGTCCTGCGCTCCCTTTTCACTTGCTTCCCCTTGCGATGATTGAACCCCCTCTAAAGCATGGGGAATTTACATGGCATCTACCCACAGGGGTTGCTGGTTTGAATCCATAGTGGCAAACAATATCATGGGACATTCATTGCAACCATTGCTGACCGCTAGCCTCGCCTGTGGAAATCAAGTGGCCATGAATTATGGCTCGGAAAGGCATCTAATTGCCAAAAGAAAGGTGAAACACCTTTATGAGGTGAGATATTCCAACACTGGTTCCAGGTTGGCATGCTTCACCCAAAAAGACATCTGGTGGGAGGTATTTTTTAAGGCTCCCTTGCGAACACTTCCAGCTGCTCGTTTCAGGAGAGCCCGGGCCATCCGCTTCCTGCGCTGCAAGTGCTTGGTCCGCAGCTTTGCCAGGGCTTTGCCAAACCTGGGCTGGCCGATAACAGTGGGTAAGGACCCGCTTGAAATAATCAGGGATGTTCATATCTTTATGTCCTCAACGAACTGGGATCCAGACTATCATGCTTATTTGTAACAAAGTTGAGATAACCAAAACAATAGAAAAGTTTCTAGCCATGAAACGCACGCGGGTAAGCTTGCGAAAGCTTTAGCTGGGCATTGCCTTTAACCCGCTGCTTCCCCTTGCTGTCTACATAGAAATCAACAAGGCTCTTTCGCTCATGTTGTGGGATACCTTGGGGCTGGAACTCCATGAGCTGCTCAATCTCTTGTCGGCCTAGGAAGATGTTTGGGGGTGAGCAGCGTCAAGAGCTTTCGGTTTATCGTTAATACTGGGGCCCTTCGAACCTATGAAAAGGGATCATTTTATACAATGCACAATTTGGATGGCTATTGACAAACCAAGTTTTCGACGCTGCTCAAATGTCATCTCTATGGTCATATTTGGATGTGTATGAAGCTGGTAGATACCTTCATAATAGCGATTTCATTGATATATGCATTTGTAAACTCACAGCCTGTGATATATGTTTGTACTTGCATGAAACAGACCTGGGCGTCCCTACTCGAGTACAGCCATGTACCCTTCTCAGAGGAAGCGCCAAAGTCACCCATGCGGATAAATTTTCTCCACAAGGGAACCAGGTCCATGACGGCTTCAAAGCAAGGGTGAAATTGCATCAAGCTACCCTTTGGCTGCTCACATACTACCCAAATCCCTCTTGCTGCCGCTAATATCATGAGGATACAGCAACGAGCCACCATTTGGTTTGCAGTAAGAACGCTGCTGTATCTCTCCCACCCCAGCGGCATGGCTTCACTTCTCAGCGTAGATCCACGCGCCCTTAGACAGGATAGACCCCAATGCTACCATATTTTGGTGCCTGTTTAGGTGGTAATAAGCCAGGGCACAATAACCCATCTTTTTTGGGCACAAATCGAAATAGCACTGTGTATGGTTCCAAGAAACACCCACACCCATGTCGAACACACAGGTGCTAGGAATAAGCTGCTACCTGGCTTCAAGGACAACACTTGGTAAAGTGCATGAGCAAAGCCTTGGGGTGTCATGATGTCCATAGCTGTGCCACCAAATTCAATGTCCAGAGCTGCACATTTGCGGCCCTCCTGTAAAGTTAGCAAATGTATGCAGGCTGTATCTACATTACATCCAAAGATTGGACAGAAACGATATCATTGTTTGAATAGAGTTAAAAGCAACCACAGATACAACATCTATACAGCCATACATGCAAAGCTTCATCAACGCAGAGAGTCTTTGGCTATGGATGTAATTAGTATGTTTGCGCGCGTGGAAGTATGCACATGTGTATGTATGTATGCATGTTTGCATGTATACAATTCTCTGTGCATTGCCTTGCATATCTTTGGAAAGGGAATGGAATGAAATGAAGTGGAATGCAATGGAATGAAATGGAGTGAAGGGATTGTGAAACAATCTGTGTATGGATGGATACAGGTATTTTTGATGTACTTATGTGTATGTATGTGTATGTGTATCTATGTCTAAGTATGTGTATGTATGTGTATGTATGTGTATGTATGTGTATGTATGAATTTATGTATGAATGCATATATGTATGCAGGAAAGTATCTATCTTCCTTTTCCTTTTCCTTTCCTTTTCCTTTCCTTTCCTTTCCTTTCCTTCTTTCCTTCTTTCTTTCTTTCTTTCTTTCTTCCTAGTTGTATCTATCTTTGTTATCCATGTGCCTGCGTATCTATGTATATATGCACGTATGCATGTTTACATGCAACTATGTATGCATCTATGTCAATTACGAAGGTATGTGGGGATGTAGGAATGTACGAGTGTAGAATTGTAGGTGTGTAGGTGCGTAGGTACGCAGGTATGTAGGCATGTAGGTATGTAGGTATGTATGTACACACGTGCACACATCTATGCACTGATTTATGCATGTATCTAAGTATCTGTGTAGTGTACAGTGCTTTATATACCCCAACTCCCTTTGAAGGTCCTGTTGTTCTCCAAGCGTCACTGAACAGCAGCCAGCAAAAAGCTCGACATGGTCAATTGGTGTCCACGGTAATGCTGGCACACTGAAGATCAAGCCGGCCAGGATGGCCATAATCTTCAGGGGTGCTCATGTAAAACGAACGAAATAAACATGTTTTTTTGGTTGCCTTTTTTTGGGGGTCATCCCATTTGAGTATTTACAACGTTTGAACCCTTACATACATACATACCTACCTACCTACCTACATACATACATAATTGGTAGCCCATGTAAATGTAATATGCACTTAGTAACTTGTAGAGAAACAAATCCCTGTGATATTCAAAATAGTTTGGGTTAAACCGTGCCCCACAAACATTTTCTACCTTGGGGGCATTGACTCCAAACCGCATAAAACCGAACTCATGTGGGTTCAACCACTTCCCCATAATTCATTTTTTGCCAGAATAGGGGTGGGGGCACCGATCCAATATTCCAACCCAAATCATTTTGGGTGAAGCCATTTCCCCATTATAAAATTCTTACCTGGGGCACACCGATTCAATACCCCATCTCAAATCATTTTGGGTTGAGCCACTTCCCCATATGATATTTTTTTTAACTGGTTGGCGTTGGTTCAATACACCATCCCAAATCACTTGGGCTGAGCCATTTCCCTAAAACGATAGAAGCCTTGGGGGCACCAAGTAGTTTCAATCCCATCATGGTCTGCTTCCGGTGCTTCCGGACTACGCTGCCGCGTGAGGTCACGCCATCTTCAAACATTGCTGCGCTTGCGACACAAGCCCGCACGGCACTTGGCTTCCCCATGCTAACGCCAGGAAGCTAGTCAGACCTTTGGATTTCGAGCCACCACCTAGGTCTTTGGATATGTGATAAGTAAGATTTCTGATGATAGCCTTTGCCATTCACCTTGGAAATTTTGGTGCAAAGATTGGTTGGATTCTCACGAAAACAGTGTGGGGATTTCTTCCGTGCAAAACGGCATGTTTGACAGATACTATATATATATATATGTATATGTATATGTATATGTATATGTATATATAACCACAAAACTTCTGTGGTCTTGACAATCCATAAGCATTTTTTGACCCATGCGCTCTGGCATGGTGCGCCTAGTTGGACATCATGCAAATCAACGACATCACACCTGGCGAAATGACGAGGACCACCCCGGGCCAGGGCGTGCCTCTTCCATGTGTTGCCACGCTGGTTGAACCCCGGCAGCGCGGTCTTCCCAAAGTTTTGTTTTCGCATATTGTTGGAAAGTGTTGCCATATATAGGATCTCATTTTTTAAGTTATGGTTAGTTTAACCGTTTTCTGACATTTTGGAATGGGCAATCCCCAGCTGGTTCTAAGATCCAGTTTCTAAGATCCAATCTGCGCGCGAGGATGAAAGATTTGTAAATCAAGTTGTGGGGTATCAATGTCAGAGTGGCTTACCCATACAGATGGGGCAAGATATTAGCGCACAATGAAGAGATATCTTAACAACCATTTGAGCCAAATGCTTTGGCAAGTCCAAGCGTTGGAGATGGCTCTTGTGTCCATTGAACGGTCGAATTTGTTTTTGAATGATCAACACTTTCGAAACACAACTGTACATGCCAAATATATTTGTTGTGCTTGTAGAGCGCGTAGCCAAAACTTACATACAGGCTTGGGGAGCACTTGTTAATTTTTCTCTGTTGACACTTGGGTTCCTCCCAAATATCTACCAAGCAGCTGCAGCCCAAACACCAGGGTCTAAGGTGCCAGGCATGGCTCGAAACGCACTTGCTTCCTACGTCCAACTACCGCAGAGCTACGTTCTGACCTTCCCAGCAACGACTTGTTTGTTCCAGCTAAGAAAGCAAAAAGCAGCAAATTTGTTTGAACATTTGACACTAGTTTCGTCAGAACCCCATTGCAGACACACCGCGCTCTGAGCGTCTCATTCAAGACGTTTTCACGAATGAGATAAGCAAAAACCCCAGCAACAGCTAGGATCCTGGACCCGCTCCGCCACATCGATACTAGTGAAACGCATGAAGTGAACAAAACTCTAAACAACATGATCCAGTTGAACCCAACATAGAAAAAATGCAAAAATTGATCCCAGCTCAGGTCTCAGGAACCCTAGGAAAAGGGCAGGCCAGATCGCTCTTTTGCAATCGACCAGGCAGACTTTACACCATTGTTTTTGGCCCATGAGACCTGCCCCACAGGTCCAGTACCTTTGGGGCCAACCTTCTTGACAAAAAAGGCTTCCTTCTGAAGCAACACTTCGATTGATGCCGAGCCATCCCCCAACGTGTAACTATGGGAACCTTGATTTCTACGGGAGCCATCAGGGTATGCTTCTTGAGGCAACTTGCTGATGTCATAGGTTCCATAGGTGACTGGTGCTGACTTCACATCTTTGGCCTTCACACCCGCACGCGAACTTGCTGCCGAGAAGCTAAAGCTAGCCTTCTTGCTGACCGATGCCTTTTTGCTCGACGCTTTGGACTTGCCATTCACCTTTGCAACCTTCTTTTCCTTCTTCTTGTTCGGGAATGCCTGGGCAAAAACATAAATCACAAATGCTTAAGAAAATGGGGGAGGGCTGCTGGACACCAAAATGAACACAGTGGACATGAAAGAAACCCCATCCCAAACGGAAAAACATACCATGGCGAAACCAAAGTACGGAAGTCTTTGGCGGAGTCTCTACCAATGGAAATCCCCAGAAATTTGGTTTCGCACACTTCGGGGTTTGCAAGGTAGAACTTGACGATGGTTCGGACATCAAACTCTTCTTGTGGGCTGCTTTGGATTCTGATCCCATGGCATCTAGGAAGGTAGCTTCATCCACAACAGGCGGCAAAGAAACATCAGACTTCCCCCCGCTTGAGGTATCAGAGCTCTCACCATCAGACCCCCCATCAGAGGCATCTCCATCAGGTTCCCCCCCCCAATGCTTTCATCACTGCTGTCAGCAGCAGAAGCAGCAGCAGGCACTGCCACTGGCTGTGCGGGCTCGTCCTGGCCAGCCTCCGACAACCTCATAGTGCTTTGGGAAAGGGAACCATGTGAGGAATCTGCCGCTTCTTCAGAATCGGAATTGGATTCATACCCAGGTGGAACAGCAGGAAGGTCCAGTGCAACCTCTTCCATTCTGGTACGAGCCTTTTGGTATTTCTCCCAAAACTTTTCTACCTTCTCTTCCCGGGTAATCTCTTCAACAGAATCTTCAAGCATTGGCTCTGGCTGGGAAACACCACCATTGGGGGCAACCGGAGGGAGGTCTTGGGAAGATCCGGCACTGCTGGGGCGAGGAAAGGGTCGTTCAAATTTCTTCCAAAAATTCTTCAACTTGTCCTCCCGAGAAAGGTTCTCATCAGGAATGGGCACTGGGTTTTCTTCAGGTTGGCTTTCATCATCACCATCACAACTGCTAAGCTTTTCATGGTCGGATGGGAGAAGTCCCAACTGGTTATCGGGCCACAACTCAGGATTGTAGTCGGGGATCGGCTTGGTCATGTCAACCTCACCCACAACTTCCACACCCTCACTGCTCCCAGACTCACTGCTCCCAGACTCACTGCTGGAATCCTGATCGGTCATCCCAACATCAGAGTCGGAACCCGGCTCACCTTCACCTGCCTCGCCTTCCCCACCCGAAGAAAGTTCTCCGTTCCCTTCAGCAGGACTCTGGTCTGCCAAAGGCTCTGGCTGATCATCACTCTCCTCCAACGGGTCTTCCTGGAGCCATGAAAGTTGGAAAGATGGAAAGCAATGCAAAAGATTTCAACAAGACCCTTTTGGTAACTCACAGGTTGAAAGATGAGACAAGTTTCTTCAACTGTATTTTCCATTACAGGTCAAAACCAGGTCAACCACGAGTTTAAAGAAATGTTTGCAAATTAAAGGCATCAAAGCAATGATAGCAAACACACATGTTTCCCCAACATGTTTGCAACTTTTTTGTCCAAAAAGACACAGGCTATGAAGAAAGACATGGCTACTAAGATACTAAATCTCCTTCGGCTTGCGGCTGCGCGTTGGAGACTTTCGCTGCTCTCTGGGCCTTGGATGAGCAAACCTGGGAATTTGGGACCTGCCTTCGCAACCGTGAACAAATGAAATCTTTATGGATCGAAATGTGGAATGCATGGGGATAATACGAAACACTTTTTGGCTATACATCTATCTAGCCAGGAAACAGTTCCGGAAGAGATGCCTCAACGAACCCAAAAGCTTCTTCAACCGCTTCGCTTCCAGAGATGCTACTGACTGCTTAGTTTCATCAGCGCCAGGGACTAAAAGGCATCCATGCATCAGACCGTCCAGCGCCAACATAGCATCAGTCAAATAAAACCCACTTGGCACCTTTCAGGAAAGGTTTGTAACAACTAGTACCCTGCCCCAAACACCACAACCTTCCATTTTTTGAAACATTGATTTGAATACCCCTATCAGGAATCATTTTAAACCAAGCCTTGTCCGAATGCTCTTGGCAAATGGGAAGGAGCCAGGAATAGTTCAAAGAAATCTCCTGATACAGGGTATATCCTGGAAACCGTGCAAACTTGTTGAACACAACATGTTGGCAGACATACTGGGATCAACAAGAAACATGTTTAAACAACCACAATACACATAGAACTGAACCAAACATCGAGGGTTTCCCACCGGTTGAAATCAATGAAAACAAATACTGATTTTTTTGGGTGGGAACTATTGCAACATTTGAAAGTGACCCAAAAAGTCCTTGCATGTGGGGCTAGATATCTCGGAAGTCAACGAAACCAGTCGGCACCCGGGCTGCAAACGGTTATTGCGGACCAAGTCATATGCTTTCTGCGGGAAGGTTTCGATCCACTTCTTGGCCAGCCTGTCCTGGGCGAGAAAGATGTTTTAATTATACAAAGAATAAAAACACATATATTATATATATATGAAGTTATATGTGTGTTTTACATTGGTAAAAATAACGTTGTGGGTGATTTTTTGTGTATATATAAACATACTCCTATGTTGACGCACGGATACATGTAAATGTATGATAGACACGCACCATCCACAAAACCCACTGGACCCTTAGATAAACCCGAGATTCCACATCATCCTTGGTCCAACCGATCTTACCAGGTCCTCAGCGTTGCACAGCTGTATCCCGACTGGAAATACCAACCCTTAAGGGTCCGTTTCTGGAAATGCCCAACATCATTCTGTGTGATGTATACTGTGACAACTGTCACCTTTTAAGTTGATAGTGAAAACGCGCCACAAAACAAATGGTTTCAAAAGTAGAGTGGCCTTGATATGCCTTGATCCAAATGCAGGTTAGCTGCGTACCGACTTCCACACAGCTTCTGGTTTTATTTCAGCTGCCAGCATGGCGCAAACCACAGGAAGATCACCAAACGCAGGTTGGCTAGAGGCCCAAGGTTCAGCCAAAACAATAGCGCTGCGCGCAAAACATGGTTTCAAAAAACCCGCATCATCAACATGATCGTTTTTTACCCACTTGTTTGTTTGGGGCTATGCCATCACATGGCCCTGCAGGACCTTCGAGTCTACATGAGAGCCCGACGCCTTGCAAGTTCTGGGATGTGCCGGTAGAGATCCACAGGAAACAAAATTTTCAAAGGGATAAATGTAAGCCCCGGATTTTGGCCATATCAGGTACGATTCTCCAAAAATAAACCATACAAACCCATCAAAAAACGATTTGTTTCCTTCGAGGATTTGAGTGCGAGCTTCATCCAGGAGATTGCGAAGAGTAGTGGGACTTTAATCATACCGTCTATATATCTATTTACAATATATATATATATTATAGTTTATTTGCATATATATACATGTATCTGTATAACTGTATAGTTATATAGATAGATAGATAGATAGATAGATAGATAGATAGAGAGAGATAGATAGATAGATAGATAGATAGAGAGAGAGAGAGATAGATAGATAGATAGATAGAGAGAGAGATAGATAGAGAGAGAGATAGATAGATAGATAGATAGATAGATATGTATATATATATATGTATATATATATATATGTATATATAGTTGACAAGGGGCTGCTGGCTGTTTCACGGTTCCAGTTTCACGCCATGGTTTCACAAACCGTGACTGCTCTTGGCAGTCGAAATTGGGCAGGTGACCTGCTTCGTGGGATTGGTAGGCCAGCATCTAAATGCCATTCCCAGATCGAACATTTTTTTTTTCCAAATGTGATGGGGCCGGGGTCCCACGCTGGTAGCACCCAACTTGTTGTATGACACATCCAACCAACAAACAATGCGGTTTGTGAATCTGGGGTTGGTACTAAAGACATTTTGGGTGGAAACTTTGCCGTAAATAGGTTTGTAAGGATGGAACATGTACGTGTTTTTTTTGGTGGTCACAGGTTACAGCTACCATGCCCCCCCTTACGAATATATACTTATATTTATTTAGATTTACACCTTTACACTTATATATACATGTATATTTTGTATATATGTATACATAAATATCTAGTTATGTATGTATACACACTACACATACATATCTAGATATTTATACATATACACTTTTTTTTCTCTCTCAACGCGCATGCTGGCCACTCCATAGAGGAGAAGCTAAAAGTGTGTGTCATGCAGCCACGATTGCCGTTAGATGTAAGGTTGCTTTTATGCCTTGACATGGGGCAAGGATCTTAGCAGCTAGGTTCAAAGCAGCGAGCATCTTAGCAGCTAGGTTCAAAGCAGCGAGCATCTTAGCATGTCCAGCACAAAGCGTGCCAGGAACATAGCAGCGTGCACGGCAAGGATGTTGCAACACTGTGAACACCATGAGTGACACACAAAAGACAACTACGCACAAACGGCAGCTTCAGCTGCCTTTTGGAGAAAAGCCGCCCCAAGGACAACTACGGATCCTCACGGAACCACAAGCAGCTGTGGAATGACGCTCGATCAAGCGCAGAGTTGGACAAGTTCAAGCAGGTGCTGCAGACTACGGCGCCATCTACACCGTCAAAGAAGCGCTCCAGATCTCGCTCGCAGTCAGCCCCGAAGGCTTCACCCAAAGCTCGAAAGAACAGGGCTCGTCGTGAACGCCAGAAGGCCTTGCTCAAGAAAGCTAAGGTTGGTCACGCCTCAACGCCACCTCCCAAGTCGGATCAGGCCAAGAAACCCGCTCGAGATGAACGGGTCCCGGCCCACGAATGGCAGAAGATTACTTCGTTCAAGTATCAAGGAGCCAAGCGATGCCCTTTCTTCAACTGCTCACTGCCGCTTTGGTGATCACTGCCGCCAGAAGCACAGCTGTGTGGAATGTGGTATAGATCACCCGTGGCACGGCAACCACTGAGCTCGGCCCAACTTTGAGGGGGCCTCAATGGAAGCGCCTCCCGGTCAATGGAGCTGTCCAGCCACAGTGTGTTATGATGGCTTGTCGGCATCTGCGCCGTCCGGTCGGAAAACGGCTGATTCTGAGCCGTTCACTGTGCCTGGTTGGTCCCAGTTGACCGAAGATTTCACCATTTTGCGCTCGCATGGCCCATTTTTCCTGGAAATTTTTGCTGGCCAAGCAGGCATCACAGAGGCTGTTCAGCTGATGGGTGTGCCTGCGCTGCCGCCAGTGGATGTGGTTGTCTCCGATCTGGTCAGCGAAGCAGCCGATGTGTTGGATCTTGCAGTGTGGGAGACTTCATGGCAATCATTGCTGCCAGGCTGGTCTTCTTGCTCCATTGTGGCACCCCGTGCAACACCTTCACTGCAGCTCGCAAAGATGATGGAGGACCTCCTCCACTGCGCTCTCGCGATGCTCCTCTTGGTCTTCCAGGACTCAGTTGGCAAAACCAAGCTCTTGTTTTTATGGGTAATCTGTTTTTGATCCGAACGTGCGAAGCTTGTACTCTTGTTTTTAATCTTGGAGGGAATTTCACGATCGAAAACCCCCTGTTGAGCCTCATGTGGGCTACGGCAATGATGGACCAGCTCGTCCACGACACACGAGCTCTGGCTGTTGATTTTGATCAATGTGCCTTTGGGGCTCCGTCCAAGAAGCCCACACGTTTGTTGTGCTCAGCTGAACATTTCGAGGTGCTCCAGGTATATATACTTTGTCCAGGAGGGCACGTGCACGAGTCTTTGAGAGGCAAAGTGTTCGACCCCCTTCAGGGCAAACTGGTGTTCAAGACCAAGGCTGCGCAGGTCTATCCTTGGGCTTTGTGCGCGGCGTTCGCCAGCGTTGCTCACGATCTATGGCAAGACCCTCTTCATGCTCTACAACCTTCGCTGCAGCTGACCACGCCCCCTGCTGATCGCAAACGCGCAGTGGGCTCCTGCAAACCGTGGCTCGGACACAAGCAGGAGGAGTCGGCTCTCAAAGCGCTCTGGGCGGGTTATCAGCTGAAGCGGGGTGCGGCCAAGCCTTTGTTGCATGTGGATATGGAACCTGGCCAAGCGATCGAGGCGGCCTTGAACGTGATCCACCCTTTCACCATCGAGGCTCCTCTGGCAGCGATGGAAAAAGCAGCCGTCCTCCAACTTCGGCGCCCGTCTGAGGTGATCATGGCTGAGCGGGCGCGGTTGCTACAATTTTGGCATGCTCAGGCAGTGGCTTTATTGCCCCACTCAGTGGCGGCGATACGGGCGCTGCCCGATCCCCATCTGCGGCGTCTGCTCCTTGGCACTGACGACCTTTCCGTGCCGCGCCTTGGTCAAGTTTGCCACGTCGCATTGTACGAGGCTATGCTCATGGCGTGCGGCTCGGTGGATCGGTCATTGCCTTCTTTTCTCTTGCACGGTTTTCCGATCGTTGGTGAGATCGCTCGCTCTGGTCGATGGCCTCCCTACAATATAAGCCCCAGAAAGACATCCCGGTGCAAGACGCATTGGATAGGGCCTGGGTTCTTCGGAAGAAGATCATTCAACGTGTTCAATCAGTACAGATCTCTGACAACCTTCAGAAGATTTGGGATGCATCGATCGAAGATGTTGAGGAGAAATCGTGCTTGGGCCCCTTAGTGTCTGAAGAGGAGGTCACGAAAGCTCTTGGGTGCGACGATTGGATCCCAACTCAGAGATTCGAAGTTGTTCAGAAGAATAAAGTTCGTGGTTGTGACAGCGCCACGACAAACATGATCAATCAGATCACCCGGATCTCGGAGAAGCTACAACTGCCTTCTACAGACACGAATGTCGCAGCTCTGCGCAAGTTGAGAACGATCAAGCCTGGCGTGAAGCTGGCAGGGTGGGTGCTCGACGAGCGCAAAGCCTATCGGCAAGTAGCGGTGCGACCTGATCACCGGAAGTTCTCTGTTATTTGCTTGAAGAATCCGAAGACTGGTGCTCCCAATTTCTTCATCATGATAGGTCACTCATTTGGCTTGGTCTCAGCTGTATACAACTACAATCGCCGATCGGCGGCCATTAACGAGTTCTTGGTCTCGCTGTTCGGCTTGGTGGCTTTCAGCTTCTATGACGACAAATATGGTTTTGAACCGCTGGCGATCGCGGGAAGTGCTCGTGCAGTAGCTGAACATGTTCATTTCTGGTTAGGTGCGAAGTTTGATCAGAAGAAATTGCAGCTACCAACACAGGTTAAACAGCTGTATAAATCAATCTCGTGGAACACCTTATAAATCGAGCATTTTCAGTGGGCTTGGGTGCTATTGCTTTCAAGATTAATCCTTCAATGATTTGCAGGGCCCATGCAAGGTTTTAGTACATGCATCTTGAATAAACATGCAGCAGGTATAGGCTTTCACCTCCCCTCAGCCATTTCGTGATGTTCTGGAACTGGCTTGCATAGGAACCGGCTTTGCTTTAATGATGAAATGCGGAGTGCGCAAAGAAACAATGTGCAGGAGGCATGGGTTTCCAACATCCATCACATAATTGAACTGGCTTGCGCACCTTTGCTCTTATGATTTGAATCCGCAGTGTACACCGCCGTGCAGTAACAATGTACAGGAGGTATGGGTTTTCAACATCCATCACATATTTGACCGGCTTGCGCAGCTTTGCTCTTATGATTTGAATCCGCAGTGTACACAGCCGTGCAGTAACAATGTGCAGGAGGTATGGGTTTTCAACATCCATCACATATTAGAACCGGCTTGCGCAGCTTGGGAGGTTCGCTGTGTAGCTCATACAGCGACTGTCACATACGCTGTTCGAACCACTGCAAAACCTAGACAATCGTTTCGACCAGATTATCTTGTACGTGGGTTGTTTGGCCATTTGTACCTGAAAAGGGTTTGGGCCCCAAATGAGCGTGAAAAATCGTGAAAATTGAAATATGCCAAAATGCACCAGAATGATGTGAAATATCCCAGCTCATCAAAGATGTGATAGATTAAACTGACTGCATAGCATTTTCGGAACTTGGAAGTTT